AGTAGTAGTAGTCGTAGTAGTAGTAGTAGTAGTAGTAGTAGTAGTAGTAGTAGTAGTAGTAGTAGTAGTAGTAGTAGTAGTAGTAGTAGTAGTAGTAGTCAGTAGTAGTAGTCAGAAGTAGTAGTAGTAGTAGTAGTAGTAGTAGTAGTAGTAGTAGTAGTAGTAGTAGTAGTAGTAGTAGTAGTAGTAGTAGTAGTAGTAGTACTAGTATCATTCGCCAGCCTACCACTACTACCATTGCCATTGCCCTTACCACTACTAGGCCGCTCGTATATATGCTTCTACACATCGCTGTTAGGTTGCTTTGCTTGGATAATTACACACAGGTTTCCCCGGAGTTGGGTCTTCGCTTGCATTGTTGTCCCGAAATGCTGCTCTCGCTGAGACGCCGGCCTCATTTTCGGGCCCCGCTTGTTCCGAATCGTGCTCCCGCTGCAGCGCTGGCCTCATTTCCGCGCCTGGGCTGCACGCCCGAGCCGGCGCCCGGGCCCGCGCTCAGGCCGGGTCCAGAGCCCGTTCCGGCCGCCCCCGGAAAATGGAGTTCCGAGGCGGCGCCAAAAAAAAGGGCCATTCTAATAATTACTTAACAGCTTTTGCTGATAGGTTTCTAGTGGGCTCAAAAGAGAGCATCTGGACTCCACAGAGGGGGTCTGGGCGGGTGCCGGGGAGGAGGGCCGGGAACAGAACCGGGCTCGTTTTAAGCCAAGAGTCACGCACTTCGTGCTCTTCGACCTCCCAGAACTCCATTCCCGGGCCACATTTTGAATAACCGGAGCCAACAGTCACACACTTCGTGCTCTTCGACCTCCCAGAACTCCATTCTCGGGCCGCATTTTGGATGCCCGGAACTAACTGTAGGCCACTTCGTGCTATTCGACTTCCCAGAACCCCACTCCCGGGCCACATTTTGGATACCCGGAGCCAACTGTAAGCCACTTCGTGCTCTTCGAGTTCCCAGAACTTCATTCCCAGCCAAGATTTGCCATGTCCGGAGCCAGTAGTAATAGTAGTAGTAGTAGTAGTAGTAGTAGTAGTAGTAGTAGTAGTAGTAGTAATAGTAGTAGTAGTAGCAGTAGTCGTAGTAGTAGTAGTAGTAGTAGTAATAATAGTAATAGTAGTAGTAATAAAGTAGTAGTAGTAGTAGTAGTGGTAGCAATAATAGTAGTAGTAGTAGTAGTAGTAGTAGTAGTAGTAGTAATAATAGTAGTAGTAGTAGTAGTAATAGTAATAGTAGTAGTAGTAGTAGTAGTAGTAGTAGTAGTAGTAGTAGTAGTAGTAGGAGTAGACGTAGTAGTAGTAGTAGTCGTAGTAGTAGCAGTAGTCGTAGTAGTAGTAGTAGTAGCAGTAGTACTAGTAGTAATACTAGTACTAGTAGTCGTAGTAGTAGTAGTAAGTATAGTATGTATAGTACGAAATACTAGTAGTTAGTAGTAAGTAGTAAGTAGTCAATAGTAGAGTCGTAGTGAGTATACTAGTCGTAATCAGTAGTAGTAGTAGTAATAAAGTAGTAAGTAGTACTATATAACATTAATAGTAGTAGTAGTAGTAGTAGTAGTAGTATAAGTAACTCGTAGTAATAGTAGCAGTAGAATGTAGTAGTGAGTAGTAGTAGTAGTAGTAGTAGGAGTGTAGTAGAAGTGGGTCGTAGTATATTAGTTTTTAGAGTAGTATATTAAGTAAGTAGTGTAGTACAGTATAGTAGTGAGAGTAAGTACTAGTAATAATAATTACTAGTATGAGCGACTTTAGTTTAGTAATAGTAATTAAAGTAGTAGTAGTAGTAGTAGTAGTAGTGTCGTAGTAGTAGTAGTAGTAGTAGTAGTAGTAGTAGTAGTAGTAGTAGTAGTAGTAGTAGTAGGAGTAGTAGCAGTAGTAGTAGTAGTAGTAATAATAATAGTAATAGTTTTTAAACCAACTGTAAGTCACTTCGTGGTCTTCGAGTTCCCAGAACTCCATTCCTGGGCATGATTTTGAATGCCCAGAGCCAACTGTAAGTCACTTCGTGGCGTTCGAGTTCCCAGAATTCCATTCCTGGGCATGATTTTGAATGCCCGGAGCCAACTGTAGGCCACTTCATGGTCTTCGAGTTCCCAAAACTCCATTCCCAGGCATGATTCTGAATGCCCGGAGCCAGCTGTAGGCCACTCCGTGGTCTTCGAGATCCCAGAACTCCACTCCTGCGCATGATTTTGAATGCCCGGAATCAACTGTAGGCCACTTCGTGTTCTTCGAGTTGCCAGAACGCCACTCCCGGGAAATATTTTGAATGCTGTTGCAGGCTGAGGCTGGGGCTAGAGCATGCTGATGCTGCGGCAGGCTGAGGCTGAGGCCGAGGCTGAAGGCAGACTGAGGCTGAGGCTGAAGCAGGCTGAGGCTGAGGCTGAGGCAGGCTGAGGCTGAGGCTGAGGCAGGCTGATGCTGATGCAGGCTGAGGCTGAGGCTGAGGCTGATGCAGGCTGAGGCTGAGGCAGGCTGAGGCTGAGGCCGAGGCCGACGGCAGACTGAGGCTGAGGCTGAAGCAGGCTGAGGCTGAGGCAGAGGCAGGCTGAGGCTGAGGCTGAGGCTGAGGCAGGCTGATGCTGAGGCAGGCTGAGGCTGAGGCTGAGGCTGATGCAGGCTGAGGCTGAGGCAGGCTGAGTCTGAAGCCGAGGCTGAAGGCAGATTGAGGCTGAGGCTGAAGCAGGCCGAGGCTGAGGCTGAGGCTGAGGCAGGCTGAGGCTGAGGCTGAGGCAGGCTGATGCTGAGGCAGGCTGAGGCTGAGGCCGAGGCCGATGCAGGCTGAGGCTGAGGCAGTCTGAGGCTGACGCCGAGGCTGAAGGCAGACTGAGGCTGAGGCTGAAGCAGGCTGAGGCTGAGGCTGAGGCAGGCTGAGGCTGAGGCAGGCTGAGGCTGAGGCCGAGGCTGAAGGCAGACTGAAGCTGAGGCTGAAGCAGGCTGAGGCTGAGGCTGAGGCAGGCTGAGGCTGAGGCTGAGGCAGGCTGATGCTGAGGCAGGCTGAGGCTGAGGCTGAGGCTGATGCAGGCTGAGGCTGAGGCAGGCTGAGGCTGAGGCCGAGGCTGAGGCAGACTGAGGCTGAGGCTGAAGCAGGCTGAGGCTGAGGCTGAGGCAGGCTGAGGCTGAGGCAGGCTGAGACTGAGGCTGAGGTAGGCTGAGGCCGAGGCAGGCTGAGGCTGAGGCTGAGGCAGGCTGAGGCTGAGGCAGGCTGAGACTGAGGCTGAGGCAGGCTGAGGCTGAGGCTGAGGCTGATACAGGCTGAGGCTGAGAGGCTGACGCTGAGGCTGAGGCAGGCTGAGGCTGGCATGCAGCTGAGGCTGAGGCTGTGGCTGCTGCGACTGGCCGTTGCCACGGCGACTTCATCGCCGAATTGGACTGCGACTGGCTGGGCGATGATCGGGAGCAGAATTCTACACTGGATTCGCATTATGAAATCTTAAGGGGAATGCTTCCAGATATGCTTCTACACATCGCTGTAAGGTTGCTTTGCTGGGATAATCTTTCAAAAATGCTCAATTTCTGCTTCCGGCGCCCGGGAGGCCTCCTGGGCCGATTCCGACGCCCGGGCCGGACGCCCGGGCCGGACGCCCGAGCCGGCGCCCGGGCCGGCGCCCAGGCCGGGTCCGGAGCCGGTTCCTGCCGGCGCCGGAAAATGGAGTTCCGAGGCGGCGCCGAAAAAAGGCCATTCTAATACACATTTTTCTTTTGAAACTCCTGGGCCGATTCCGACGCCCGGGCCGGCGCCCGAGCCAGCGCCCGGGCCGGACGCCCGAGCCGGCGCCCGGGCCGCCCGGGCCGGGTCCGGAGCCAGTTCCGGCTGCCGGCGCCGGATAATCGAGTTGAGGCGGCGCCGAAAAAAAGGCCATTCCAATACACATTTTTTTTTGAAAATGCTGAATTTCTGCTTCTGGCGCCCGGGAAAGCCTCCCGGGCCGATTCTGGCCTGCTTCCGCTCGTTCCGAATCGTGCTCCCGCTGCAGCGCTGGCCTCATTTCCGCGCTTCCGCTCGTTTCGACTCGTGCTCCTGCTGCAGCGCTGGCGTCATTTCCCGTGCCATGCCCAAAACGGGCAACACTCTCAAAAAAATAGCAAATGGCCTCAACAAACTAAGTGATACTAAACACACTAATAGCGCTGCTCTTCTATCACGCAGCCCATGCCGTTTTTTGCTCTACAATGCATCGCGTACCCTTTCGGGATCATTGCCCCTGCTCGACATCCGACTGGTGCGGTAGAGAGGGGATCTGCGCCATGGTAAGGGATGGGAGGGAGGGGTAGGATGTCAGATATGACGCGGGCGCACCTAGCTTGCCTCTCCTCCCCTCCCCCTCCTTCCCTCCTCCTCCTCCTCCTCCTCCACTTCCTCCACCTCCTCCTCCTCCTCCTCCTCCACCACCTTCTCCTTCTCCTCCTCCCCCCGTTTCATCTTCCTCCCCCTCCTCCCCCATCTCCTCCTCCTCTTCTTCCTCCTCCTCCTCCTCCTCCTCGTCCTCCTCCTCCTCCTCCTCCTCCTCCTACTCCTCCTCCTCCTCCTCCTCTCTTCCTCCCCCCCTTCTTCTTTCTTCTCTTCTTCTCTTCCTCCTCCTCCTCCTCCTCCTCCTCTCCTCCTCCTCCTCTCCTCCTCCTCCTCCTCCTCCTCCTCCTCCTCCTCCTCCTCCTCCTCCTCCTCCTCCTCCCCCTCCCTCCCGGCAGCCTGCCGCCCAGGAACAGCCCCCGCTGCGGCTCGGCCAGCAGCCGCGCGTAGCCGCTGCTGCGGGAGCAGCGCGCCTCGGCCTCCGCGACCGCGTCCAGGGCCCCGCGGAGCGGCTCCGCCAACCACCTTTTCCTACCTGCCCCTCTTCGTCCTCCTCCTCCTCCTCCTCCTCCTCCTCCTCCTCCTCCTCTCCTCCTCCTCCTCCTCAGTCCTCCTCGTCCTCCTCCTCCTCTCCTCTTCTCCTGCTTCTCCTCATTCTCCTCCTCCTCCTCTCCTCCCTCCTCCTCCTCCTCCTCCTCCTCCTCCCTCCTCCTGCTGCCTCCTCCCCCTCGTGGGTCGTCTTCTCTTGTACTATTCGCCTCTCCGCCTCCCTCCGTCCTCCCTCCTCCTCCTCCTCCTCCTCACCACCACCTCCACTCCCACCCCACCGACCACCATCATCATCACATCATCATCTCATCATCATCATCTCATCATCATTCATCATCATCATCATCATCAATAGCAGCAGCAGTGAGCCAGCAACAGCATCAGCAGCAGCAACAGCAACATCATAATCATTACATTCCGTGTCCTCCTCCTCCCTTCGTCATCGTAATCATCATAGACAACATCATCATATCAGCATCATCACCATCAACAACATCGTCACCATCATCATCACCATCAACATCATCATCAGCAGCATCATCACCATCACAATCATCATCAGCAGCATCAGCATCACCAGCATCATCATCATCACCATCATCATCAACAGCATCCTACTCGTTCTCCTCATTATCATCAGCAGCAGCATCGTCAGCATCATAATCAACATCAAGATCAACATCAGCAGCCTTATCAGCATCAGTTCATGATGATGATTGATGATGATGATGATGATGATGATGATGATGATGATGATGATCATCATCATCATCATCATCATCATCATCATCACCATCATCACCATCACCAGCATCACCAGCATCATCATCACCATCAGCATCATCAACAGCATCCTCATGATCAGCATCAGCATCATCATCATCATCATCAGCTCATCAGCATCATAATCACCACCATCATCATCAGCATCATCATCATCAGCATCGGCATCATCATCACCATCAGCATCATCATCATCAGCATCGTCATCCTCATCGTCGTCGCCATCGTCATCATCATAATCATCATTATCATCATCATCATCATCATCATCATCATCATCATCATCATCATCATAATCGGCATCGCCAGCAGCATCATCAGCAGCATTAACATCAACGACATCATCATCATCGTCATCATCATCGTCATCGTCATCATGATCATCATCAGCAGCATCACCATCATCATCATCATCATCAGCATCATCATCATCATCATCATCAGCATCAGCATCAGCATCAGCATCAGCATCAGCATCAGCATCATCATCAGCATCATCAACATCATCAGCATCATCATCACCACCATCGTCACCATCCTCCACCTCCTCCTCCTCCTGCTCCTCCCCCTCTCCTCCTCCTCCTCCTCCTCCTCCTCCTCCTCCTCCTCCTCCTGGTCCTGGTCCTGGTCCTGGTCCTGGTCCTGGTCCTGGTCCTGGTCCTGGTCCTGGTCCTGGTCCTGCTGCTGCTGCTGCTGGCTGCTAGCTGCTGCTGCTGCTGTGCTGCTGCTCCTCCTCCTCTCCTCTCCTCCTCCTCCTCCCCTCCTCCTCCTCCTCCTCCTCCTCCTCCTCCTCCTCCTCCTCCTCCTCCTCCTCCTCCTCCTCCCTCCGCCCTCCCCTCCCTGCCTCCCTACGCTCCCTCCCTCCCTCCCTTCCTCCCTCCCTCCCTCACAATTCTCATCTGAATAATTACTACTCTCCCTCTTCTCCTGATGACGGTTTGAAAATGCTCTGAAAATATTCGCCCCCCCCCCCGCGTACTGTTTTTTACACACAAGTTTCCCTGGAGTTGGGTTTTCGCCTGCAATTTTTTCCAAAATGCTGCTCTCGCTGAGGCGCCGGCCTCATTTTCGGGCCCCGCTCGTTCCGAATCGTGCTCCCGCCTCCCGCTGCAGCGCTGGCATCATTTCCGCCGGCGCCCGGGCTGGACGAGCCGGCGCCCGGGCCGGCGCCCGGGCCGGGTCCGGAGCCGGTTCCGGCCGGCGCCGGAAAATCGAGTTCCGAGGCGGCGCCGAAAAAAGGCCATTCCAATACACATTTTTCTTTTGAAAATGCTGAATTTCTGCTTCTGGCGCCCGGGAAAGCCTCCCGGGCCGATTCCGGCGTGCTTCCGCTCGTTCCGAATCGTGCTCCCGCTGCAGCGCTGGCCTCATTTCCGCGCTTCCGCTCGTTTCGACTCGTGCTCCCGCTGCAGCGCTGGCGTCATTTCCCGTGCCATGCCACGGCATGCAATGCAATGCTAGGTTGATACTACGCTTCGCGGTGCTCTTCTACGCCATGCCATGCCGTGCTCTACAATGCATCGCGTACCCTTTCGGGATCATTGCCCTGCTCGACAGTCGACTGTGCGAGTAGAGAGGGGATCTGCGCCATGGTAAGGGATGGGAGGGAGGGGTAGGATGTCAGATATGACGCGAGCGCACCTAGCTTGCCCCCCCTCCCACTCCCTCTCCCCATATAACTCCTCCTCCTCCT